GTTAGGCATGCATCGGAAACAATAACAAACAAATTTTGAATTTGCCTTGTGGCCCCATCGCTTAACTGAGTGATGGCTATGAGCTGGTCCTTTTCTATGAGTAAACCATGGCCATGGAAATGTCAATCTATTGGAAGATAGATAATTATTTAGTATTTTATTAGTAAACTTTCCTCCCACATTTGAGCATGCTATTAGTATTTGACTGGACATCCATGGAAAATATTCACACCCCAGTTAATTATACCATATTTTTTGGTCAACAAAAATATAATTATGCTTGAAATATTTCAAACTTTAATTATAGCATAATTGAAAACTTCCTATGTGTAGAATATGAGTATATTAAAAAGTTCCAGCTATTGATGTTTTTGGGCAAGGTTTGTGTGGGTGTCGAATTTAAAATACAGGCTGTACCAATTATTACATAATTGAGGTCAGACAGTTGACAGTTATACAAGCATCCATTTTGAAAAAGAGTGAAGTATATTGAACTGTGCAAAAAACAAGTCGCAATATTTCTGGTTGATACAATAAATAAATGATATTTAAAGAAAAAATGCATTTTCCCCCCAAATTTCCTGCCTTGGGCAGGACTCAGGCTTAGCTAGGCTAGGTACTGTACTGTAGGCCCTACAGTACAACGATTTTTAACGAAACAACGATTTTTCTTTTGTGTCCCAACGCCCGTACCTGACCTGTTGCACTTTTTTACTCAATTCTTAGGTTTAGCCTAGGCCTAGCCTAAACAGTACAGTATACAAACAGAAACACTGCCACTGACGAACTGACTGAACTAAACTTGATACTTAGCTACAAAATTATACCTAAGCTAGAATAAGTAACTAGGCGTATATATGTGGAAGGCGTATATTTATGGACGAAAGGAGATTATTTTTAGGAAACATAGACCAGTTATAATTCTTATTAAATGTATTTGTATGAAACCTTCTGTAATTAATCATTTGTTTTTTGTAGGACAGTATAAATTATATAGCATTTCATATTTCATACACTAAATAATTTACTAAATCGTACATCTCAACTCATAAATTGGACCCCTATCACGGCCTGATCCATTGTCTGGTTATTGAAAACGATGTGTATCTCTCCCATCTGGAAAGATTAAAGTACCTAATCTGAGGTTTTAAGTTACACTATACAGTGTAACTTTAAAATGGTCACAATGGTGGTTTGTGGTTAATGATTTTGTAGGATTAATTATTTGTTACAAATATGTGCATTAAATTCTAATTATTTGCTGTTTTTAACATTTAATTAAATGTTTAATTCAATGTTTAATTTAACTTAAATGAAATGTTTAATTTAACTTAAACGCTTAATTTAATGTTTTTAACATTTTAACTTAAGATGTGAGCATGCTAATTGATACTGTAACTTATGCATCTGTTATACATTTCCAAACGGATATTCTATAGAATTCCTATACAACTTCTAAAGCAAATGTTATAGATGTCTATAGAATTTTCTATAGAATTTCTATACAGCTTCTAAAGAGAATGTTATAGATTTCTATAACAATTTCTCCAGAAATATGAAGCATAATTATTTGCGACAAAATGATACACATATTAAACTCTATGCATCATTTAGTTACTCAACATCAGACCATGAGCCAAATGCAATAGTTTTATTTATTTATTTTTATTATTATTATTGTTATTATTATTATTATTATTATTATTATTTTTATTATTATTATTTAATAATCATGTTTCATGTTCAAAACCAAGCTTCTGCAATACACACATTTATTGAAAATCCACTGTGGGTCACTAATACATAAATTGTGCAACAAACTAATTTTCTATAGTGTGGAATACAACATTCATTATTATTATTATTATTATTATTATTATTATTATTATTATTATTATTATATTAGAATTCTATAGAATGCGTAAGCTCTATAAAACATTTCTATAGAATTTTTTTGTCTCTATAGAGTTACATAGAACTCTATATAAAGTTCTATGGAATTCTATAGAGCTGTATAGAATTTTTCCCCCCTCTGGTGCCACCACTGCTTAAATACTAAAATGAATAATTGAATAGCTCATTTAAAACGATCAAAAAAAAAATAGAAGTAAAATTATTTTTCACTGATTTACAGGCATAATTCTACAAAAAAAAATCCTTAAATTTTACCAACCAATGAGTTATGCAAAAGAATACAGCAAAGTATATTCTCATTTTATTTTATTTAATATTTCCAGGCAATAATATACAGAAAAACGAAAAGATGGAAGTAAAAATAGTTTTCACTGATTTACAGGCAAAATTCTACAAAAGAAAATCCTTAAATTTTACCAACCAATGAGTCATGCAAAAGAATACAGCAAAGTATATTCTCATTTCATTTCATTTAATATTTCTAGGCAATAAAATACAGAAAAAAAGGAAGTAAAAATAGTTTTCACTGATTTACAGGTTTAATTCTACAAAATCAGAATCCTTAAATTTTACCAACCAATGAGTCATGCAAAAGAATACGGCAAAGTATACTCTCATATTTCATTTAATATTTTCAGGCAATAAAATACAGAAAAACCCAAAAAACACACAAGCCGGAGGAGAATCTAAAGTAGATTGAAAAGGCTTAATGTTTGTCAATTGACGGGGATTTTTTTTTTTTGAATTGTCAAACTAAAATTAACACGCGCGTCCAATGTATTCGTAATTCTTGTCTCCGACCATTTCTAAAAGTTTTTTCTTCAAATATGTATATCTATAATGTGTGTTGAACCTTGGAAAAGAATTCCACGTAAACATTTACATGACAATAAAGGAAATAAACTTGAACGCGCTTTGAACTTGAGAAACAGTATTGCTATATAGGGGAATATAATTGGTATAACACATGTCATATCTAAGACTATATTATACAGTATTCAAATAGCCACATTCATATATTGTTCAATACTATTGTGCTTTTTTATACTTGCAAAGACCATGCTGTACGTAAACTGAGTCTAGTAAATTCATAGTTACCAACCCGTGAGATTTCAAATGCGTGACTGACTACACCAGTTGGCTTGGGGGTTAGGTCCAGGGGCGGAGCCCTAGCGGAGTCGAAGGGGCGTAGGTCCCGGCGCTTCGACGATCTGAGCATTTTTAAGCTGTTTTAAAACAGGAGCGTTTGTTGACAATACCGAGTAGGCCTACATAAGCAAACATATTTTTACTAAAGCCACGTACAATTTGAGTTTCAATGTATGTTTAATTTGAGCCCCGACCTATGTACACAAACATTTCATTACTGATCAATTTTTAGTAGTACACGTCAGTGAAATAAGTATTTACGTAAATACTGTACTCTCTATGACTCAAGTTACTGCATGATAGTTTTTATATTTTTAATAAAATCAATTCTTCTAATTTTTAAACTCAATTTGCCCTGAAATCGTGATAATTCGTTATAAGGCATTGACTTGTGCTCAACGCGTCGTGGCAAATTTAGGATCACGCATGTGTTTTTGCAAAATTCGTGTTTCATCCAAAATCACTTTAAAATGAAGGACCTGCATGATACGAGACGGTTGGTAACTATGAGTCATTGGGATAATATTACAATAGTCCATTAATTTCCACAATGTCTACCAGTTTTTAGAGATTTTAGCATACGCCGTAGTTTTCATCCACGCAAAAGCACTGCAGCTCACTTGATACACCGCAGATTACACAACACCTTTTTCGCAAGGGGGAAGTCAAGCATCATGCGTGCATGTTCATACATATTAGTTCACTTAACTCAGGGGTGGGTCGGTCGGAGGGCCAAAGTGAATTTTTGATTTAACAACGAGGGCCGCACCCAAACTTTGATGTCTCCAGTGAGCTTCCGAAAACCTCCAAGCACTGCTTTCACATCACTTTATTTTCAGTTTCAGTGTTACTTTTTACTACGATTGGTGTTGGACCGTAAATAACAAGGTGTTTTCTAGACAATTTTGATTGACGGGCCGCAAACATAGGGTTTTTAATTCATTGTCGCGGGCTGCAAAAAAATCGCTGACGGGCCTCACCTTGCCCACCTGTGACTAAACTGATCAAAATAGCACCCTCTATAATTTCTACCTCTGCCGAGTTTAAAATATAAACATTTTTTCCTAAATGGCACTTTAGATACCAATAATGGCACGCGAGGATAAAAAAAAAAGAAAATTATCGGGATTTTACTCTCTTTAAGGTCACGCGACACCGTCTAATGATTGTCAGTGGTAGTTCACGAAGTAGCGCATCGTCATTGAAAACGACCAGTTGCGGACGCTTTGTCGAGAGCGTTCTTCATGTGGTCGAGTCAGCCGACGATCGTCAGTGATGTAAGCGCAAAGATACGGTAATTTCAGCGATTGCATGTAGGCCATCATGTTTTCTTCAGATTTCCATAGGATGTACTGAGTATTATTTCGTCATACATACTGTCAACAATCTAAAACGTTATTATCAATACTTACAAATTTACTATGAAACTTGCATTGAAAGCTCTCGACGGAATGCTTGTAAGAAAGTTCTTATTCAAATATCTGCAAAATAAAAAATCAAAATGATAATGTGGCAAATAAAAAACTTAGTAATTAAAAAAAAATAAAAACAAAAAACTTACAAGGAACTTCCGCTTGCAAGATTTTTAAAACTTCCTGTTGTAATTTTCATCACATTTGAATTTCCTATGAGTCTGTGAAAAAATATTGACAAAACATATTAAATGAAGTCATCACATTTGCCTCTAACATGAGTTTATGTAACGAAACATTCAATAAGTACAATATAAGTTCAATGAAGGTCCTTGTCATTCGATTAGTCCATTTGATATCACATAGCATTGGTTATTTACTTCATTTAAAAACTAGAGCAATCATTCGATAGAGTGCATACCTCCACCCTGTGCCTGAATACAGTACCAACAATAGCAGGCCGTGTATGATGAGCGACACTGCATACTGTCAAGAAATAATGGGATAGCCCGTCCTATTTAGGCACATTATTTACTTGAGTGCTGCATGAATACAAGGGGTGATTCCATTATTACCTTCTATGCTAGAGGATACAAAATCAAATTTCCGTGACTTGACCTTGTCTTTTGGCCTTTTCTTTCAAAATAGAAACGAAAAAGAGGTAAGAAAACTCATTTTTGAGTTATCGGAAGTGCACAGGGTGAATAATTATCCTGTTTCGGACGTTGTAACACGTTGTTAGAAAAGTTGAGGATATGTAAGAAAGTTCCTGAAAAGATATTTGATGACTTTCAAACACTCACGTTTACATTCAGGTAGGTTCAAATGTTGCCATAATCAAAAGCACATGTGTATTACATTTTGTATTTGATATGGGCTTTTTATAGACAAGCGGGAGATATTGGGTCTGTTTTGATATTTGAGTACAGAGAGTTTAACTGCGCCCCAGTGGTGGCGCCAGAGGGGGTTATAGCCCCCCCCCCCTGGTCAGGGAAGCTAACCCCCCCCCCGTCGGGGAAGACGATATATTTTGTCGGGGAACAAACAAATAAAAAAAAAAATTTACATGTAAAATTCGTTTAGCCACCATATTGTTTGTGTTAACTTTTCATCATAACAACAACAACAACAATAATAATAATAATAATAATAATAATAATAATAATAATAATTCAATGATACTAATTAAAAATAATTTGCGTTCTGTTATGACAAATGCTCATTTAGATAGCCTCATGATGGTTGGAATACATCGTGATAGATGAAGCAACCTCGACCATGACAGCGTGGTTGACAGATTTAATGCAAAAATTTCCAAAATATAGAATTTCACTTTCAAGAATGAGGATTTGAAAATAAATTAGATGGTTACATTGCATACTCTTTGTTTCTTGCTTTATTCAAAATGTTTTGGTTTTGGAAGATGATTTCGACATTAGAAAGCATAGCCTACATGAAGTCATATTAGAGTAACTCGATGCCTATAAAATAAGTAATAAAAAATCGCCATAATTCATCACCCCCGTGGCTTCCAGGGGGATTTGCCCCCTGGACCCCCCGGGGGCCCTAGTGGGACTCGATTCGCTCCACTAGCCCCCCCCCGTCGGGGCCTTTAACCCCTCCGTCGGGCAGGTCCTGGCGCCACCACTGCTGCGCACACATGATGTATTAACTGAAAGGTCCACTGATTAATCTCAGATAAGATAGTATAATACATACTCCAAGTATCGAAAGGCACATTGTATAATAAGTATTAAAGTTTTTGTGAATGCTACTTTAGATTATAGTATTTGAGATAGTTATTCATAAATAATTTGAAAGTTCTTGGAAAGTATCTATCAGAGACCCATAAGAGATTGGTTATGGAAACGGCATAATTACATTTTTGAAACCGTGTAATCATAATTCTACATTACTTTTTTTTAACTGTATAATTATAATTCTACATTTAGATGGTGAAGAATGTAGTCCAGTGGAAAGGGACCACTGTTAAAAATGGATTAAGAAACAAACTATAAGTTTAATATCCTTGAACACTACAGTACCGTAAATAAATTTAGGAAAAACTCCGAATGTCTTGCAATTATGTAAAAAATTAAAATCCAATTCGGCTTTGTTTAAACGAAGAGTAACCTTTTCATATTTTCTTAATAAAGAAACTGCTAATTATTATTCTGAATATATAATTGAATACCGTCTAATTATTATTCTGAATATATAATTGAATACCGTGATTTGTTTAACCAAAGGTTAGTAAAGCAATAGTAAGTCTGTAATATGGACCAAGTGTAGCTAATTATCATGTAGAATATATAATCAGGTACATTGATTTGTTTGACAAAAGGTTGTGAAGCTATAGTTAAATGCAAGGTAAGAAGTGCTTGCATAATAAATATTGCTTACGTGTATATTTAAATAAGCTTGAAGTTAACATGTTTAATTTGCAAATTAAGATCAGGATTGTTCCATTTTATGTAAGGGGATTCTTTGATTTTCAATTCAATTGAAGCTACATTTAGTCTAGATTTCAGAGTTACTATAGTTGGTCCATGGAGAAAATTCTATTTTATTTTCTCCATGGTTGGTCAAACTTCAAACAAATCAATCTATCTATTTAATATTCAGCATAATAATTACCTATATATATATAGTCTACATGAAAAGTATTTGGTTCATTTCTGTTGTGTTTTTTGTTAACTGATGATGGGTTGAAGGTAACCCGAAACATGTCTTCCATTAAATCTTTTGTGTTATTTTTTAAATTCGTTGTATTTTTTGTCAACTTACGTCCATTTTGTTCTATTATCAAGGATTTCAGTTCAAGAAGATTACCAGTTTCTTTATTAAGAAAATATGAAAAGATTACTCTTCGTTTGAACAAAGCCGAATTGGATTTTAATTTTTTACATAAGTACCGTAAATATTAACTATTACAAATTTACATGAACAATTACACTTAAACAAAAAACATATCCCAGAAGTTATCAAAATAAACGTGGAAGTGTAATGTACATTAATTTAAAGGGGAAAACTGAAAAGCAAAAAATACCTTATATTAGATATTGAGAAAATAATATATTTAAACTTACATGTCACAGCTTCTGGCGTGACCTTTCAGTACAAACGTGCTTTCCTTGATTATACCAAAATTATTATTTCGAATTGCACTTTGATGAAGAAATAAATAATCATAATGAAATTATTAAACGGTATTATGAATTATAATTATTAAGCCAAACAAATTGTTGTATTGCCCTTAATTGGGAAAACTCGAGATCGTCGGTCGGAATTTCTAATTCTGAAAACTATAATTTAACCATAAACTGGCATCTGGAGTAGTGTAAGCCTAAGCCTGGGTACGTTGTTTTTTTACTAAAGCAAAATCCATCTTCTATACAAAAATTATTCAAAGTAAATGGTCGAAATAAATACAGACCAAATGTTTTTTTAAATCATATTGAAATAAATTCAACAAAAACAAATCAATAAGAATCTTTTATTTATTGTATATAAACTATACAATATATATATATATATATATATATATATATATATATATATTGTATAGTTAAT